GATGGTAAGCATGACTGGCTGGACAGCAAGTCATTTTGATCCAGTCTGAGCTGTGTTTGAGCTGGCATGGGCCAGGCTTCGACAAGTGAACAATCGCAACTAGCTAGGTAGCGGTATCGTGATGCGCTGCGAGAAGATGCAACGCCGTTTAGCATTTGACATTCAGGAGTTGAATTCATGGCAAAGAAACGGTGTCTGTTGGAAGGTTTCATTAACCCAGCAAGAATCATCTTGTTCCTCCAGCAAATTTTTGCTGAAATTGAAAACATTCAAGGTGGAGGTACCATTGGTCTCAAGAAAGTTGATGAACTCCTGTGGAATTGTGCCAGTGAGTCTGTTCGCCTGTGCCAGAAAGTGAGTGAGATGGGGCAGGGCTGCAATCTCAGATGGAACTTGGCCTGAAAGAGTGTTGTTCTGTAGCTCGATATATTGTACAGATGACATCAAAGCAAGTTCAGTTGGTATGGAAGAGCCCAATTGATTGGCACTGAGACCAAGACTCCAGAGTTCTGAACTGTTCAGCATTCCGAGTTCAGAAGGAATCTATAACAAGAAAAACTGGTTGGTATCCACGCAAAGTGCTTCTTGCTCCCCAGATTGGTTTGAACTTACTGGTCCATGGAAAAGATTCATATCCAGAAGGAGTCTAACGGGAGAATTGAGAAGACCAAGTTCGGTCGGCAATGTACCTGTGATAGCCAGCATGAGTTTGGTGAGTTGGAAAGCATGGAATTGTTCCAGAGAAGGAATATATTCCATCAAAAGCAATGTACCTGTTAAGAGGTTATCAAAAAAGAAAGCCCACTCAAGGTCTTGAAGCAAGCCAATGTCTGATGACAAAGTCCCAGTCAGACTATTCAGATCCAAGTAAAGATTCTGAAGATTGGTGAGTTGGAACAGTCCTATTGGAATGGTACCGGAGAAATTATTGTCGTCGATCAACAATGTGTCCACTCTGGAAAGCATACCAATCTCAGTAGGAAGTGTGCCAGACAGTTGAGTTTGCTCACTGAGAAAGAAGGAAAGAGTGTCACTCAACATCCCAAGCTCAGTGGGGAGAGTCCCCGTGACATCTGTGAAGCTGAAGATTGCCGCTTCTAAATGTTGCAACTGACCGATCTGCGAGGATATGGGCCCACCCAGCATATTGAAGAAGAGACTCATTGTCTCCAAATTTGTCAGCCAGTAGATTTCTTCTGGTAGTGGGCCTTCCAAGTTGTTCATGTGGAACCACAGCTGTTTGTAGGAACCTTCAGCTGGGACCTCAATCAAGTTGATTGCCTCCATTGTGCCATTTGCAGTTGTATCATTGATTCTGAGATGACATGGATTCTGATACTCGCCTCTGAAATGGTGCTCGCCTGACCCAGGAATCAAAAAGGGAATGGATCCACTTGCATACCAAAAACATTCATGGTGGCTATAACTCAGCCAGTTATCAGAGTAGGTCCAGTTGAAGCCATTGGTAGAGTGAAACATTGCCACCAGGGCAAATCGCTGCTTCACCCTCCATTCCAAATCAACATATTCCGTTAGATCTGGATCATCCAATAGCCAATCCAATGCCTTGGATTGCGGAGACTCTGGGTCCTCCAATGCCTGGATAGTGTAGTTTGGGAAGTAGCTCAGGAGCTGTTCAAAGACAGGAGATGCACTTGGGGCCATGCTAAAGTCCGTAAGGTCATTTTCTTTGTTGGGTTCAACATGCTCCATGGCTGGCGTAGCTTCATTTCCATCACCAGTTTTCCCCAACAGGACCGCAAGTAGTACAACGAAAACAACAAGACAGAGGCCGAAGCCAAGAACCAGTGCAATCCGCTTATTTGACTCTTGGGTTTGTGTGGTCCTTTTCCGAGACGCTCGATTCTCAGTATACTCTTCTGCTTGTGGCAAGTCTCTTGGATCTTCCGGATCGTCCTGCACCTCTCTTGCAACTGCCAAACCAGAGCTGACCTGTTCGGGTGGTGTTGGTCCAATGTCACGCCTAGTTTCATCAATAATTATCTCGGCATCATTGTTGTTGGATGGTGTTGGTGCAAAGGCATAGGCTCCTGGTTCCGCAAGTTCTTGTGTTTGTTGTTGAGGGGGAGCTCCTGGGCTCTTCTCTGTTGCCTGGCTTTGTGATGGTTGGCTGCTTGGGTTAAGATTGGCATAGTGCCCTTGTTGTAGCTTCTGGTCCAGCATTTGCATGTCACTATCAGTTCCATGATATCCTTGTTGTAGCTTTTGATCAACGCTTAGCATGTCAGCATCATTCATGTCATTATCAGTTCCATGATATCCTTGTTGTAGCTTCCGATCAACCCTTAGAATGTCGTTCACGTCATTACTAGAAGTTCCATGGGAGCCCTGCTTGGCAGAATGCAGTTCTTTTTGCTGCTGGCCTCCTAGTATCAACGGATTTGTCATGTCGTCAGTATTTGCAATGGATGTGCTCTTTTGATTTTCAATTAAGAAGGACGACTTTGGACGTCCCCTTCTTCCGACACCAGATCGGACGCGGCCATCTTACTCATGGTTACAACCACACACTCTTTATTTGATGTTGATATTGACCAGCGATCGGCGGCGATCGGTAGCCTACTCGTACTAGCTAGCTAGCTAGTCTAGCTAGCAAGTGAAGCAGAGATGCTCTTTGAAGAAAAGAAGAAGCACCACTTTGTACATGTAGTCATGTACAGTAGCAACACAAAAGTCAGTAGAAAAGAAGAAACAAGCTGCTGTAATTCACTGTGGCGCACGAGGTCATATCTAGCGGTACCTACCTGGTATTGTAGGTACAGTCAGCCCTCTCTCTTATTTATGAGGGGGTATCCTGGACTTTGATAAATATAATGGAGGGCATAAATATAAGCGTTTTCTAGGGCCTTATTTGCTAGTAAAGTACGAATGAAGGGAGCTATCACGCTTTCGCTTGCCTGCCTTAGCAGCCCTAGCCATATTCAAAGCCCTGGAGAACGGTTGAATCGGCGTTGTTCATGTTGGTCTAGGTCGGATTGGAGCCTTTGGTATGGTTTGCGTGAAATTGTTTGGCAGCTCACAAGAATTGTTTTTGTCTGGTCAAAACCATCCTTCCAAAAATGCACGTAAGCAACCAGGGCTTGGGCTGGCACCGACGAGACAGCCTCTGAGAGGTGCGTGCAGAGGTACCGCAGAGGTGCGAGGAATCCCACGTCCATTGGATCTATATCAGCATTTTACATGCCATCTCGGTCAAATTGAAACGGTTGGAATGGATTGTGCGACGTTGTCGGGCTGCTCGAAAGATTTGTTGCTGCAGTCACGGTCACTCATGACTGCAGTCACGGTCACTCATGACTGGGGGGGGATCTCGAGATTTAATAAATATAATAGAGGGAATAAATAAGAGATTATAAATAAGAGCGAGGGCTGACTGTAGTATTCCACCCACTCTAAACCCTCATTTTTCCCATACGGAAGTGCGCACCATTTCGCGCGAAGGATGAGAAGGCGAAACAGGAGGGAGGCGAATCACGAAACGGATGTTGGATTCTTCAGGTCTTGTTTTGGCTTGTAAAGATTGAGGTGTGCTACATGTACATGTACCTACATTACTATGATAGAGTTCCTGATTGACTGCCACGATGAAGGGGACTCTGAAATCAATCCGCCCTCGCTTCCTTCTTCGGCAAAGACCCCCAACTAATGCCAGAGCATTCTTTGCCAGTCAAGCCCAAACTGGAGCTTGGTCGTCGTTGTCAGCGGACGAACAAGCCGCCTGGAAGACCTTTCACTATGACAGAGATTCTTGGGAACGCCGACGACCAGCACCCGAATGGAAACAGTGGGAGCGTCTCACGTTGGAAGAAAAGGCAGCGGCCATGAAAGGATTGAAGATTCACAACCAAAACGAATGGGATCAAGCAGCACCTTCCTTCCATGGTGATATTCCACCCTTGTCTAGTTTGCTACTAGAAGACAGCGACGATGATGAGAACGACGAAACTGCAAATGCCCTGGTGGTAGCACAAGAAACACGGTTGGCCCGACAACAGCAGCAGCAACAACAATCCAATTGGCTGGGGCAAATGGCTTACACTACCATCAAAGGGTTGGCACCTGTGGCCGGCCCCTTGCTACGGAATGCGGCAAACCACAGCCGTGGGGCACTGGGCCTGTCCCTGGCGGGAAGTCTGTTGGAATCGTTACCCACCATTATGGATGCTTCCAGTGGTGTGCTGGACATTACTGGAATTGATACGTTGATTTATCTCGATGACAGTGCCAGCATGGCGGGAAGCAATTTACGGGAGGGACAAAAAGCTTTGCAAAGTCTGGAACAGCGTCTCAAAGCTGACGACGACCAACGATTTTTGCCCACACGCATTGTGAAATTTGGCATTCACCCGACCATTTTGAACCCTTCGGAAGAAGATTGGAATGCTTCTCTGGTCAACTTTGCCTGGGATGGTAGCAGTGGTGGTACGTACATGTGGAAAATGATTCAAGACGACATTCAGGCTCGGTACAGACCGGCAGGCGGCAAGCTGCGGATCGTGGTCATCACGGATGGATACGACAATATTTCCCCCTCACCTTACAATGGCGTGAGAGGCTTTGATCCATTGATGCAGACTCTGTTACAGCTTGGCTATGACATTGAATGGAACATTATTGTCGTGGGAAACAACAGTCCTGGAGCAATGTTGCAGATGCACCCAGAGCTTTCCACCCGAGACCAGGAGCTCTACAAAAACCTGTGTGAAGCAACGGGAGGGCATTTCTTGTCCTTGGGCGCGAGAGGATGGGATGAAGATGACAACCAAGTGGCCAACTTCTTAGAGGCTGTGGAAGATTCTGGATTCTATGATTCGGAACAGGATCGTCGAGAGAGGCAAGAACGTTACCAGATAGATGCTCGTAGAGGCAAGGCAGACAAGTTCGATTGGCTCCCTGCCTTGTCGGACAAGCATGATGACAAACAGTGACAAGTCCAAATAGGAGGATGCTAGTGTTTCACTGAATCACCTCGAATAAGCCAGCGGAGCTGTGTAACCTCGGCAGAAAGGTTTCAGTGTAGAAGCAGATACCCCTATAGCTAGCTAGCTAGAAGCAGATACCTGTAGTGCTTAGCTAGTGCTTAACTTGCGCTTAGCTAGCTAGAAGCAGATCCCCCCTAGCTAGAAGCAGATTCGCATAGCAATCTAGAAGCAGATACCCCTAGCTAGCTAGAATACTTGTTATATAGCTTTCACTAGCTTTAGAGTTTTTCCTTGTAGGAGCAGATCCCCCTACTAGCTAGGATGCATGTAAATAGCTTTAGCTGGTTTAAAAGCACCATCCTAGAATACTTATTTAGTTTTTGCTGACTTATTTATATTCTAATCCTACCCTTATACCTGCAGGGACCACCGTAGCAGGAAAAACAATTAAAGGGGTTGAGGGCTCTGGCAGCAAGACTGCCGAGGTAAAGTTCGTAAATACCAAGTCAGCTAGCACTGTTGCTGATATTCTAGCTAGTGCATGTTTCTATTTCGATAGCCATTTCAATGGAAATGGAAATGGTACTGGTACTGGTGCCACAGGCAGTGTGATCGAGATGGGTGAGTGGCCTGTACCTGTTTCTTTTGAAAGGACCGACTTACAAGAGTAGAGGACCGCAGCTAGCAAGACTACATGATGGAGCTTGCCTTCTACAAGGCTACGATACCAATGTACAGTCGTTCGATGGCCAGGACGTACCGTACCTAAAGCTGTACTTGCGGTAGCTCTTACGGAGAGCCTTTGGGACGCCGACACACAAATCTTTACTGTCACTTACGTGAATGATTCATCCCAATGAGCAGCAAGGAAATATGACCATGAGCCCGAGTGGGGCATTCACCTTCACAATGCGATGCCCGTTGCACTGATCGGGATCCGCTAAATTTCTTCACCAGAATTCTGGCTTTCGACTTCCCTCCACTCAGACTGCTCGTTCAATCCAGGGAAGACAGGATCTACACATCCAAAGCCCAGCACATGGCGTGTAATACCGATCTCTTGGACTGCCATGGCTCCCTCACCGAGTATCTGGTACCAGTACCTTCACCTCAAACTCCACAAATGGCAGCTTCAGTCTGGCAGGAAGTACCTTTTCATCCAAGCTTTCTTGTACTGAGGCGCGCTCCACAACTACAAGGAAGCTGTCAACGACTCTCTCCGGGCTTTCTTCGATGACCTGAAACAGCTAGCCAGCCCTCGTGCAACCCTTTTTGTGAGAGCTAGTTGTGGTAACAAGATTGAAAAGAAAATCGAAGACGCAGCAGAGCTCCTCGAACTTCCGGCATGCACAACGAAAAGGAGAGTGTTTTCCCGCTTCTTGAATGAGAACGGCTGGTCCTACAAGGTGAACGTGCATGGGGCTTATTCCTCGATCGATCCTATTGAGACCATGGAACAGAAGCCGGTTTGCTCATGGACAAAGTTCTGTAACTTCTAGACTTCCTACTGTTCAGAGCTGGTAGTGGCAGCCCCAAGGGAAGGCATTTGCAATGAGTGCTTCAAGTATCACCAGCGGCACAAGTTCCTCTCTGAAGTGCAGAAGAGGAGAGCACGAGAAGATGCAGAGAATGCAGCCGATAACGTCCACATTGAAGGTGATACCAATGATGATGACGATGAGACTCCAATCAATCAACTTAAGAGCAACAAAGAAGACAAAGCGAAGCAGCATGATGATGAACCAAAGACAGAAGACATCGTGGAAGAGCAGGAGTTAATGATTCTTAGTGCCGCTGAACATGTGGAACAAGCAAGGTGTCAGCGAGAGTACTATCAAGCCATGAAAGAAAAGAGCAAGGAATGGTGGTCACCAGAGCAGATGCACACCCGCACAGAACAGATATCAGAACAGATATCCCTCTGTTTCATTTGTTACTACGCACAGAATATGGGAGTGCCATCGTTTCTTGCTGATCAGCCAGGTAAGACGTACTATTTATTGGTCACCATGCAACGCCTTTTGCTTTGGCATCGTGGACAGCATGGAGTCGCCAGATCTCCTCCATTCCTACATCTACACAGAGGATATTGCGTCGAAGGGAGGAAACAACGTGGCATTACTCATCTGAAACCATCTTGTGCAGAGGGGTATCATGGAAGTGGCAAAGAGACTACCATTTCCAGAGATCTCTTTTATCTTTGACAACTGCCCTGGTCAAAACAAGAATCAAATGGTACTTCGAATGTTGTTCTTTCTTGTCAAGATGAAGATTGCCAAAGTCGCGAGAGCTCACTTCCTCATTAGAGGACACACGAAGAATGATTGCGACAGACTGTTCAACCTCATGAAGAAAGGATACCGGTAAGCTCACTCGTTCTCTGCTTCTTCCCACGAAAACATGAGATGTGATGTCACTCGCTAACCACTGTGTCTTCCACTGTGCTTTCCATGTACTATAGAAAGA